GGCTGGCGCCTTAGCCGGTTGAGCTATAGGCGCCGAGCCTTAGTTTTCTCTTTTCTTGGCTTTGGCAAACCACTCCCTGACTGAGTGCCAACCAATATAACTCAACTGGTTGTTCATCCTCGGCTGGTCCCTAAACTGTTTAGGGAATATAAAAAATACAGAGCATACATTCAAAAGCTATGACAAACAATATTCTCATAACTAGTAATTTCTTTTAGCCAAACATTAAAAATGTTTAAGGGTGGGGGAAGATGTTGGCCAAAGGATACAAGATTTCAGTTAGGAGAAGAGAGATATCTATTGTATAATATGGTGACCAGTTTTTGTTTTGTTTCTTGAGATAGAGTCTACTCTTTTACCCTGGGTAGGGTGCGGTGGTGTCATATCTTATAGGAAGCTCAAACTCCTGGGTTCGAATCCTCTTGCCTCAGCTACCAGAGCAGCTGGAACGACAGGCGCCCACCACAATGCCTGGCTAGTTTTTCTATTTTTAAATTTTTAGTAGAGATAGTCTTACTCTTGCTCGGGCTGGTCTCAAAATCCTGAGCTCAGACTATACACCTGCCTCAGCCTCCCAGAATGCTAGGATTACAGGCATGGGCCACCATGCCCAGCTGTGACTATAGTTAATAACAATGCCCTGTATACTTGAAAATCAGGCCAGATGTGGTACCTCACACCTGTGAGCACTTAGGAAAGCCAAAGAGGGAGGACTACTTGAGGCAAAAAGTTTGAGACCAGCACATGCAACAGAGCAAGATGCCACCCCTAGGCTCTGAGCTCAGTGGTTAGGGCACAGCCACATACACTGGGGATAGAGGGTTCAAGTATGGCCCAGGCCTGCTAAACAATAATGATAACTACAAGAAAAAATAGCCAAGGGTTGTGGTGAGCGCCTGTACTCCCAGCTACTTGGGAAACTAAGACAAGAAAATCGCTTCAGGTTGCTGTTTGCTGTGACGCCATGACACTCTATAGAGGGCTACATAGTGAAACTCTGTCTCAAAAAAAAAAAAGAAGATGCCATCTCTACAGATGGCATCTACAAACTAGCCAGGAGTGGTTGGTTGTGTACACGCATAGTCCCAGCCTATTCAGAAGGCTGAGGGAAGAGGACTGCTTGAACCCAAGAGTTTGAGGATGCAGTAAGCTATGACTGTACCACTGTACTCTATCCCAGGCAACAGAATAAGACTCTGTCTCAAAAAAAGAAAAAGAAAAAGAAAAGAAAAAAATTGCTAAGGCTCAGCACCTGTGGCACAGTGTTGTAGCACCAGCTGGCAGGGCTTAAGCCTGGCCCAGGCCTGCTAAATGACAACTGCAACAAAAAATAACTGGGCGTTGTGGCAGATGCCTGTAATCCCAGCTACTTGGGAGGCTGAGTCAAGAGAATCACTTAAGCCCAAGAGTTTGAGGTTGCTGTGAGCTGTGATGCCATAGCACTCTACCCAGGGCAACATAGTGAGATGCCGC